TAGTGTTAGAAGCTTTTAATTATTTGGTCAGAGTGTTTCCCTGTGTGTTGCTCTTCATTGAAGTCTTTGGATCCATCCTAGTTCATGGATTAGACCAGAGGCCTTTCACCTTTGGTCTTTGGTCATTAGCCAGGTCATTTTCTGTAGAAAGACTTCTTTTAGAGCAGGTTTACTCTAGGTGTATATCTGATGTATGATCTGTATTAAAGGTGCAAATCAAACTCTTCATGTATGTTAGTCTTTGTACTCTCCTGTTATATAACATGTTGTTACTGTGAAGCTTTACAAAGATCAAGTGTTCTGCAAACTGAAACTATGCAGCATGCAGTTACCAGTTTTTCTAGTTTGGTGATGATGGGAACTATTATGAAAGAATGTTTCCTTATTTGAGAACACCTGACGTCATTAAAAAGATACCTTTATTTGTCAATTATTTGATGTAGGACAGAGCAAAGAGCTAATGCTGACTTTAATGAAAATCCCAGGAGCCACTTCTTCTGACCTGACTGTGTTCAGGGATCGCTATAACATTTTCTACCTTTGAGGTTTCTCACAAACTTCCTTATGCCCGTGTCCCTGAATGCATTTGATTCTTTGATTTGAACTTTTACATATTTATATCATGGACAATAGTTACCAAAACAGTACTGTAAAGTTGTTAAAAGTAGAGTACAGATCAGTGCGAAACAGTGTTGGTCAAGTTACTTGAAAAAAGTAATCAGTAACTAATTACTGATGACTTCCCTCCAAAAGTAATCCCGTTAATTTACTGATTACTTATTTTTGAAAGTGATTAATTACTTAGTTACTTAGTTACTTTTTAAAAACATGATTTACACCCTGAATAGGTAATGAAGAGAGAGATCTTCAGTCTTTCAATCCCAATTCTACTATTTCTGTATAATCCATCATATAAAATGTAATCAAATGGAAAAAGTCTCTTTTTTTCTTCCTACATCTTTCATTTATCACTTCAGCAACAGAAGGTGCTGATGAAGTCCTTTGAAAAACTTCAGGAAGGAGATTCTCCAGCAGGTAGAAAAGCTTATTGACCCACTACAGTGTGCATACAGGCCTCGTAGAGGTGTTGATGATGCAGTGGTCACTCTGTTGAATTTCCTATATCACTAATCTTGATGGCACCAAAGCTCATGCTCGGCTCTTATTTATTGATTTCTCTTCAGCCTTTAATATAGGCACATCTTCTAGCTGATAAACTTCTGAACCAGTTTAAACTTGATTTTATCTGGTTGGTTGGATTTTAGACTTTAGACTGACAGATCTCAGTGTGTGAGAGGTTTTAAAGTTGAATCTAAAATTATGATCCTTTTTTATTAAAGTTTTATTGAATCTGTTTTAATAT